TTTTTGCTTATGTGGTGCTGAGGAATCGAACCCAGGGGCTTAGGCATGCAAGGCAAGCGCACTACCACTGAGCCACCTTCCCAGCCCTGGGTAGGCATGGTTTATCTTGTGAAATTCAGCTGCTGCAGGTCCTGAGGCCCACTTCTGGTAACTGAGCCTCTAAGAATGGCTTATGGTGGAGGGGAAGAAATATCTTGGCCTTCCAAGCATTAATGTGAAAGAATTTCTGTTTGATTGATTCTGCAGTTGTCGGTTTGCAAGGAGCTTCAGCTGCCACTTAGTGATCTCCACTTGAGCACTGACCTGGTGGCCCTGTCTTACTCTGCAGCCTCAGGTGAAACACATTCGGTTCAGGTACGTGGTCTAAAAGCTAACCAAGACATGAAACCTTTAAGCTACTGCAGTAATGAATAGGAAAAACTTTAGAAGTTGTTATCACAGTCAGGGATTTCCTGAGTAGAGTTCCAGGGGAACAGATTGGAGAGAGAATGGACAAATGAGTCTGCATCAAGCTAAAAAGTTTCTGCACAGCAAAGTACATCGTTACCAAGCTAAAAAGATAGCCTAAAGAATGGGAGATCTTTACCTGCTATACATCCGACAATGGCCTAATAGCCAGCTCAAGAAACTAAACTCACCCCATGTAATTGTAACCCCTCTGTACAGTATCTTCACAAATAAAATAAAATAAAAAAATTTAAAAAAAATTAAAAAAATAAAAAACAAAACAAAACAAAAAAAAGAAACTAAACTCTCAAAGAAGAAGTAAACCAAATATAATAAATGGGCAAAGGAGTTAAATGCAGTCGTCGAAGAAGAAGTAAGAATGGCCAGTAAACACAAAAAGAAATGTTCAGCATCTCTAAAGGAAATACAAGTGAGAACAACATGGAGATTCCATCTCACCTTAGTAAGATTGGCCATCATCAAGAATACAAATTTATCATTATACATTTATTGTTATAAATGCTGGTGTGGATGTCAGGAAAAAGAACCTTATTACACTGCTGGTGGGAGCATAAACTAGTGCAACTACTTTGAAAGACAGTTTGGAGATTCCGCAAAAAAAAACAACCAAAAAACATAGAACTACCCTGTGACCCAGCCATACCACTTTTGAACATCCAGAATATTATAGGTGAGGATATACTTGCACATCTATATTCCTTGCTGCGTTATTCATGGTAACCAAGCTATGGAAGGAGCCCAGATGTCCTACAGTGGATGAATGGACCAAGAAAATTTGACACCCACAATGGAATTTTTTGTGTTGATCCTAGGCTTGAACTCTGTGCTTGGGCGATGTCCCTGAACTTTTGTGCTCAAGACTAGTTCTCTGCTGTTTGAGCCACAGCTCCACTTTGGCTCTTTTGGTATTTAATTGGAGATAAGAGTCTGACAGGCTTTCCTGCTGGGTTTGGCTTCAAATTTTGATCCTCAGTCACACAAAACTATACATGAAGGTGATACCAAAGCTAGGAATTAACACAGATCTTTAGCAAGCTACACTCAAGGGATGGGTGACACCAACAGCAAAATGAAATGGACCTCAGATGCTACAGCTGCCTGGATGAGTCTCAGCTCGGCTAAGGAGCAAAGTCTGACTGCTGTGCTCCTCTGTGTGATCTCACTGTTCTGTGTCCTCAGAGAGGGCTACAGCTGTGGGCAGTGGATTGCTAGGGTTAAGGTGTGTCAGAGCATGATTGCAAGGGACAGCACTAAGGGGATTGGGGATGGCGGGACTGTTCAATACCCTTATGGTATGTGGTTAATTACACTCCACATGTTAAAATTCATAGAACCATGCAAAGGAGGGAAAGTCAATTACCCAATTAGACTATTTTTACCAGTTTTGAAACAGTTCTTGTGTCTAATATCACCTGTTGTCAGACTCCCAGGTAGTAAAGCCTTCTTTTATGTGGTTACTGACTGGGCTGTGGTTTTGTTTTCAGGCTGTGGCTGTTATGGTTGCCACCAGAGAGGGATCCATCCGCTATTGGCCAAGCCTTGCTGGAGAGGACACCTACACGGAGACCTGTGTGGATTTGGGAGGCGATAAGACTTGCATGTTTCTGACTGCAGTGCAGGTGTGGGGGAAATTCCTTGTATTTATGGGAAAGCCATGGCTCAGATTGGCAGTGAAATTAGAATGACTGAAAATAGGGTTTCTGGCCAAGGAGTCCAGGGAAGGATAGACTATTAAATAAGAACAAGGAACAACAGAATGAAGGTCTGTGATTGAGAGTAGCTAGGTGAAAGGGGCTGCGGGCTTCCCTCATAGGATTAACATGTCCCTGTCCAGTAGAAGTGAGTGGTGGTAATCTCCTTAAGATTGCTTTAAGAGAGTAGCTTAGAAACAGACGCTAAAGCATGAATGCAAGCATCTACTCTAATTATACCAAAGAAATAAAACACTTAATTTGTTGAGCTGCAATATGGTCTGCCTATAATTTTAAAAATCAGATTCAGAAAATGGAAAATTTAAGCCGGGGACTGGTAGCTCAAGCCTGTAATCCTAGCTCCTCAGGAGGCTGAGATCTGAAGATTGCAGTTCAAAGCCAGCTCGGGCAGGAAAGTCTATGAGACTCTTATCTCCAATTAACCACTAGAAAACCCAAAGTGGCTCTACGGCTTACATGGTAGAGCACTTGCCTTGAGTTGAAGAGCTCAGGGACAACGCCCAGGCCCAGAGTTCAAGCCCTATGTCAAGAAAAAAGAAAATGGGAAATTTTCTGTTGCAGTTTTTTAAATTAGCTTACATTATATTTTTCTTTTTTTTCTTTCTTTCTTTTATTTTTTTTTATTGTGAGAATACTGTACAGAGGAGTTATAATTACATGGGCAAGATAACGAGTACATTTCTTATCAAGCATTGTTGCCTCCTCTTTGTTTCCCCTTCCCATCCCTTCCCATTCTCCTCTCCTCCCCCCATCCAGCTTACATTATTTTTATTAGTTATTTTACTAGTTATATAGAAATTTTTATATGTAGAATAAGTTCTTAAGCCGGGCGCTGGTGGCTCACGCCTGTAATCCTAGCTACTCAGGAGGCTGAGATTTGAGGATCGTGGTTCAAAGCCAGCCCGGGCAGGAGAGACCGTGAGACTCCTATCTCCAATAAACCACTAGAAAACCGGAAGTGGCGCTGTAGCTCA